GAAAAGATCAAGATACAGTATTCAAAGTAGAGTTCCTAGTGAATGTGTGTCACTTCTGCACCATTGTATAGTCAAAAAAATCAAGGTGAAACATCATAAATCAGGAATGGCTGTACTGAGAAAAAGCAAATAACCAAGCACACCATTTGCTTTATTTAAGACAACTGTGATTTCCAAAGGAGAACTATGGTTAGTCAGTGAATTGTTACTAAGCATTCACTGAGTTGTTTCTAGGATGTAATGAAAATTAACCAAATCAGTTTGGTATTTTGTATACTTGCCAGTTCAGTTGAAAGCTTTCGTCATCTTTCTTTCTAATAGCTTTCTTTATTTTTTTAACTTCTCTGCCTACTGATGCAGCTCATTTCCTGTTCATTAAGTTCTGTATATGCAATATATGCACAGTGACCCTCTTCCTTGTGTAGGACCTCATAGTTCCCCTCAAAGTGCTTTAACAATGTGCCACTTCTTGAGCTGCTGCACTTCTTAACCTTCTCATCCTTCTCCTTGAGTGGAGGAGATAATACAGAAACTGCCTTCAAAGTCATGTTGAGCTCAATGGCTTTCCTTAGAACCATATCAGTAGGTGCAAACATTACAGTGTAGATTAAGTGGTAAAAGAGTTTGAACTATTTACAAAAATGAATGATAGATGCAAAGGACTTTCTGTTGTGTTGATTGTCTAATACTATATTTGAGTAATATGTCTTGGTTTATCATGGCACTTTAGAATTGCTTCAAATAGAGAAAACTCAGAGAATTGGTGTTAGAGATGGGCTGAAAAGTTCAAGAGTACCTAAAATTACTTTTTTGGGGGGGTGGGCTGTGATTATACCTTGGAGGCTCCAGCACCACCACCTCCCCACCCCCACAAAAAAAGAATCACCAATAAAAAAAACCAAAAATTGTCTTTTTCTTGCTAATTTACTAACATTTAATTAGTATTGATTTATAAGTTTGGTACCATTGCCACAAAGTTGCATCTTTCATTGTGATGATATACTTCATATTACCATATGTTAGAATTTCATGATTATCTGAGTTACAAAAAACTGTATCCTGAAAATCATACTAGAAAGAGAATTCATGTCAATGCAGGCCAAATAAAAAAAGTTCTCTGATGACTTTGAATCCCAAATCTCTAATACTGGAAATTCTTGAATTAAATTTTTCTGATTAATTAAACGGCTTTTATTCTTTCCTTTTCTTTTTTAAATTATGGTACTGAGGTTTGAATTCAGGGCCTCAAGCTTGCTAGGCAGGTGCTCTACCACTTGAATCATACCTCCAACCCTTTTTGCTAAAGTTACTTTTGAGATAGGGTCTTACTTTTTGTCCAGAATGGTCTAGACCACTCTTCTCCCAATCCTCCCTGAGATGACAGGCATTTACCTCTACACCCAGCTTTTTGATGGGGTCTCATGAACTTTTTTGTCCAAGCTGGCCTAGAACTGAGATTTTCCAGATCTCAGCCTCCTGCCCCTGTAGTTAGGATTACAGGCATGAGCCACCAGCTCCTAGCCAAAAGGCTTTTTGATGGATTTTTAGTTTTGAGGGTTTATATGGCCTTCCCTCCAAAGAGATCAAGACTATCTTGAAACAAAATTTTTTCCATGTACATACATTATTTGGGCCACCTTCCCCCTCTCCCCACCCTGACACTTCTGGGCAGAACCTGTTGGAAACAAAATTTTTGACTCAAACAGGAATGTAGTTTAAAGATCATTAAATCCAATTAATGTCTTTAGTTTACAATCTGGAGTCAGGCAACACTTCATTCCATAAAGTAGATCAGTGTTCTAATGGGCTGAGTGGACAGAGGTTGGTTTTATGAACAGAGAAGGACTGAAAACAACAGAAACAAAGAACAAAAAGTGGATCAGAATTTCTTCATGGTTATTTTCAAAGTTTCTTTCCTTGTCAAGTGACAACAGAAATAGAATAACAGAACAACAGACCGGTTAACGATAGGTTATCTCTGGTTACTTTGTTTAAGCAGTAAAGCAAATGGGCTTAAATCATGTCGATTGAACTGTCCTGCTTAGGAACCTTGGTTGTTACCTCTCTGTCTCAGATGATCAGGAAGTCATAGCAATTTAGTTTCACATTTGGTGATGCGGAACCCCAGCATGGACTCCATTTTGATTTTTAGTAGACTCTGAGAGTCCCAGTGCAGGAGTCTGGTCCAAATGATGGCCTCCATCTACTTAAAAAGCTGGACATCGATCTACCATTTGATCCAGCAATACCACTCTTGGGGATATACCCAAAAGACTGTTACTCCAGAGGCACCTGCACATCCATGTTTATTGCAGCACTATTCACAATAGCCAAGTTATGGAAACAGCCAAGATGCCCCAGCACTGATGAATGGATTAAGAAAATGTGGTATCTATACACAATGGAATTTTATGCAGCCATGAAGAAGAATGAAATGTTATCATTTGCTGGTAAATGGATGGAATTGGAGAACATCATTCTGAGTGAGGTTAGCCTGGTCCAAAAGACCAAAAATCGTATGTTCTCCCTCATATGTGGACATTAGATCAAGGACAAATACAACAAGGGGATTGGACTATTGAGCACATGATAAAAGCGAGAGCACACAAGGGAGGGGTGAGGATAGGTAAGACACCTAAAAAACTAGCTAGCATTTGTTGCCCTTAACGCAGAGAAACTAAAGCAGATACCTTAAAGCAACTGAGGCCAATAGGAAAAGGGGAACAGGAACTAGAGAAAAGGTTAGATCAAAAAGAATTAACCTAGAAGGTAACACCCACACACAGGAAATCAATGTGTGTCAATGCCCTGTATAGCTATCCTTATCTCAACCAGCAAAAACCCTTGTTCCTTCCTATTATTGCTTATACTCTCTCTACAACAAAATTAGAAATAAGGGCAAAATAGTTTCTGCTGGGTATTGAGTGGGGGAGTGGGAGGGGGCGGAGTGGGTGGTAAGGGAGCGGGTGGGGGCAGGGAGGAGAAATGAACCAAGCCTTGTATGCACATATGAATAATAAAAGAAAAGAAAAAAAAAACAAAACAAATGATGGCCTCCTGCAATTTTTATTTAACAGCTCTATAGGAAAAAATTTCCTATTTCAAACACTAAATGTATGCTCCATGAGGACAGGGAAGTTGTATTCTTCACTCCTGAGTCCACAGCATCTAGAAAAGACCACAACACATAATAGTCATTCAGTAAATATTTATCTAAGGTAACTTCTGTCTGTTGGAATAAAATGAATTAATTTGTTTATTGCTTTAATCCTGTTGTATAAAAATAGTTTCTGGTACTATACCTTAAAATAATATATGATCTTAAACTGAAAGAAAAGTCACAATAAAGGATCCAATTTTTTATTAAGAGCTATCACAGAATTTGTAGAAGTGAATGAGAAGGAGAAAATGAAACATACCAGTTTTTTTTCTAAAATTAGATTCATGGAAAAGAAGAAAAAGCATGAAGGGACACTTCAACACCATTGCTCAATTTATTGAAACCATTTTGAGGGAACTCTTGGTTGGGCATTTGGGTAGGGGGGATAGTTTGGTTGAAAAAGAGCAAGTCCGACCTTTCTAAGCATAGGCCCTGGAACTCTATGATCATTCCAGCCCAGACAGTCTTGCTACTCTTTGTAGTTGAATAGAAGGTGAAAGTTCTTAAGTGAGAGGTCTAGGAGTTGTCATGTTAAGCAGAAAGAATCAAGACTTGTTGACAACTTCAATGCAAGCGGAGTTGACTTGGGAGAATCAGATCAGCTGCAAGACTCCAAATTAGACTAACATTAAAGAGCTGTGTGATGTGCCTAATGATAGTGCATGATGAAGAGTCCCCTTCTCTACATGGAAGAAATTGTCTAAAAGGAAGTCACAGCCCTAAGGATGTGGAACCAAAGAGTTCAGGGTCCAGCTGGGAATCATTTGTTTAAAGTTGATTATGGAATCCTTCAAATGAAAAGTAAATTTAGGAAAGTAGCATTGGGATGGATTGAGGGCTGAAGACAAAGCCCTCAGGAACCTTCAGATTAAAAGGAAGGACAAAATGAGAAAGTAAAGACAAAAGAGGATCATTTAAAATGCGGATTAGCCCAGGGCGACTTTCCCTTTTCCAGGGCAGATCTTGTGCAGTGGAGCCTTTCTACTTGCCCTTTTCACTGTCAGTTCAGCAAATTCTGGAAAAAGAGTTGCTAAGCAAAGAAACACAATGTGCCTTGCTCCTTCTAACTTATTCTTGCTACTGGCACTTGCAGGAAACTACCCCCATCAAATTAGCCACTTGAATTGCCATAAATATCAGAGTAGCGCTGATTAAGTTCATTTGCCGGAGAGGAAAATGCATTTTAAGGAGAGGGGTCTGAGAGGGGACCAATTTTTTCCATAGTTCAAGGCATTTAAGTCCTTAAAATATGAAAATTGCCCTCAGAAGGAAAAGACTTTGCAAAAACTAACTAGTCAATTCATTTGATGAAGTTTCAGTTGTAAGAATCTCCCAGTGTCCTCCTCCTCTTTAAAGAAAGAAGAAAAAAAAAAAAACTAAAAAAAGCAATAATATAACGTTTTGTAAGGAAAAGAAAAAATTATTTATGCATGAAGAAAATGCTATAAGAGAAAACTTTTCCATTGTGGAAAGTGTACCAAACTATTAAAGCCGATTTTTAGCTGGTTTCTGTAGTGAAATTTGAGCTTGAGGTTAATTTTTTTTTTTGATTGATGCAAAAATGTAGATCTAGTCATTTAAACAAACACTCCTAGCTCTCACTACCAAAAAGTGTACTTCACCTTTGGTGTTACAGAATATTTTACAAATACCAATTTCTGGTTGAAGGCAAGATTTCCTAGATAGTCAAAACTCTTGGTTTTCCACCACCTTCCAGATTGAGAAGGGTAGAGAGTGGTCAGTATGCAGATGAATACTATGCTGACATCATGCCAACCTTTTATCTTCACAGAGAGGCCGATGAGAACTGAACTCTGAGAGTAATTTGTAGAAGCAGGACCGATGTGCACACAGAAGGAATGAAGAATGGATGTGAAGGAACGTCGGCCTTATTGCTCCCTGACCAAGAGCAGACGAGAAAAAGAGCGGCGCTATACAAATTCCTCAGCAGACAATGACGAGTGTAGGGTCCCTACGCAGAAGTCTTATAGTTCCAGTGAGACCTTGAAAGCTTTTGATCATGACTCCTCTCGGCTGCTCTATGGAAACAGAGTAAAGGATTTGGTTCACAGAGAAGCAGACGAGTATACTAGACAAGGTAGGTAATCATTCTAGCAAAACAAGGCATGCTCAAATATTGCTAACTTGTAGGAGTCACGTTTTTCTCCCCCCCAGAAGGTGACATGATTATTTTCCAGTTTTGATGTCCTATCTACTGGTTTCCAATTGTGAAGATTAAATCGTCACACAATATTCCAAATTAGAAGTAGAAAGCCATGTATGGCACATTGGCTCCCAGACATGGTACTGACACACATGTAGAGAATAATTTCACAGCTCCACATTTATATGTGAGTTTTATGGTTTACACATGGCTACAGTGTGTGTGCATCAGGCTGAAACTCAAGTCTCTAGGGTTCCCTCTTAGTTGAATGAAGATGTTCACAAACATTGATTTTATAGTTTGAACTGGGACAAGGAGGGTAGGAGCTGTGGAAGAGGCAAGCTCACATAAGAAAGTAAGAATTATGACCCTGAACAATCTCATACTCCATCCAGCTCAGCCATCTGCAGGTGTCTATGTTATACAAAAGCCTGCCAGTGAATGCTTCCGTTTGCTTTCTCCCAGGCAAACTAGCACATTAAGATTACACCTTAAAAAAAATACTAGTTTCCCATAATATAATCCATTATGGCTTGGTCATTTGCATGTATTTCTTGAACATTTTTACATTCCTTTTTCTGCCTGTATGTCCTACCAGTGGAATAAAAACTTCTGTGACTATTTTCACAATCCTAAACCGACCAATTTTCCCACATAAGACAGTAGTATATTTTAACAGAGGCACAGAGAGTTGTATTTTGTTTCATCTGATACAGTCTTAAGATATGGGCAGGAATACTACTATTAAAAATAAAATCCTCTTACATTTGTATTGGGCATTACAGTCCACATAGAACTTAGTGTTCCTTAGCTAAGTTAATCAGGACTTGATTAAATAGACTTCAGTATTAAAGAATACATTCTTTCTCAATGATGTCACAGACCATGTGACTTAGAGTTTGATACTGGGCAGGAACAAATTTAAGAAAAAGTGATAAAAAATGCAGAAAGTTGTACAAAAGTCTGAAATACTCCCATGATTCTTTTCTCCTGTGCATTGTGGAAAGAGCTGTTCGAACTAGACTGACCCAAACCAGTTTACATCGAAGAAAATTCATTTGCATTCCTCAAGAGAGATTTTTTTTTTCCCCTGAAAGCATGCCTTACTAAATACTGGTGTCAGCTTTCATGAAAAGGACAAAACAACTGAAGATTTTTAATTCATTTTTAAGGAGAGCTATAGTCCATATTTGAGATATGGTCAAGAGACTTACATTGCTGTACCTTGTACTGGAATTCTAAACCTGATTTTTTTCCTGTCTCCTTTTGTCTACACAGCTGAAACAGATCAGTGTACATATTTCACCAGTTTAAAAAATAATAGGTAGTGTAGAAATGTGTCAGTATGAACCCAAGTTACGAAGTCTTGATTTTTGCAACAAAAATAACTGTTTTATGCCCTGTGTGTGTTAGGGGTGGGGACCCACCTTGTGGAATACTGTTAGAAAAGGCAGCACATGTGGGTCGTGATCATGGAGGAGGCTCATCTCCACCCCAAGCAAGCATTTCATTTTGGCAGTGCAGAGGATGCTTACTTAAACAGGTTAAAAATAGAGCACTGAAATTTTCACCTCCTAGGCACCGTTAATCCAGTGCAGACTGTTGTTGACGACACTGGTGACACCATCTGTGGAAACCCTGGAACTCAAGTTCTTGGGGGACCAAACAGTTCTATTACTCAGCTCCTTGCAGGCCAGGGACTCCTGAAGGAAAAAAGGGGCTTAAGAAAGAGAAAGTGAGCCAGGTGGCAGATGGAGGCCTCTTGTCGGGAGCTGAATGGAGTTGGGAGTAGAGGTTTAAGAGCAGAAGGGAAATGAAAAGCAAAAGTGCAGTATTTGATATATTTGATGATTCACTCAACAGACTCCTTTGTAAATCGAAATTTATTAAAAACATCAATGGAACATGCTGCTAATCCTAGCCAGCGTGTACTGATGCCTTCCTGTGTGCCAGTGCACTAAGCAGGCTGCTGCATGGTCACTGATGAAGTAGATCCCCACAGTAGCTTCTTTTTACAGATAGAGACATTTGAGGCTTGGGGAGCCTAAGGCTAGCACCCACCACAGGCTGGAACTTGAACCCAAGCCAGTCTACCTCTAGTGCTGAGGCTTGGAATCGCTGCAGAAATCTCTGCCAAAGCAGAAAACAAGCAATCCAGTGTAATAATTGCCCCTTCACTTATTCGAGTCGATTTTGTTCAGTTCTGCAGTAAAATGGTGGTGAGGTGGATAGTGAGAAGTGAGCAACCTTAAGACAAACATATAGGGAATAAAATTGATTCGATTTTGTAATGGAGTGGATGAGGGTGAGGGAAGTGTTGCAAATACTTTTTCTTCCCTGTGGTTTGATATGGGGAGAGTTTGTGGCAGGTGTGGTAGGTGTACAAGAGAAATGAATACGAAAAGGCTGCTATCAGATTATGTTTTTCTTGAGCAAGAGTAATGAAAAATCCTTCCAGGCTTTCATTTTCTTTGAACCTGACAAATGTCAGTTTTTCCTCACTGAGTATTATACTGTGGGATTAATTATTTAATTGACAAAATGTACTTCCTGCCATAGCTTCTGACATCATACACATAATAAAAATGAAAGATTAAAAATATTAATAGTAGCCAGAGATCTTTGAAACAATTCCAAAGAATCATGCTAATTTAACTTGGCCACAGAGTTTTAAAACAGCTCTTCAGTCTGGATCTGCTTCTTCCTTGAATGACACAGGAAAATGTCACTTCAGCTGGAGGAAGGGATAAGAGAGACCCTGTTAATGCAATTACATGGAGAATTCAAATGGAGAAATACAGTGTTTTTATTTTTATCGACTAATTTTATGGCCTATCATCAAACTTGTTTTTAATCATTTTGTATGGCCGGCAGGTGCTACCTTTAATTACGTGTTATATTCAGATCCTGTACAGCCAGGGATGATTTCGTTTTCACCGTAATGTATAATTTGACTGGATCTCACATGGATCTCCTTCTCTCTATTTAAGTCTCCTCTTGTGGTTTGTGAGTGATGGAAATAGTTGCTCTTTCAGCAGCTGTGCAGCTCTCTGTAGGTGTGACGGGGTTAGAGTAACAATGGCATGTTTTGCATTCTTGGATACTATTTTCTTTGATTCATCTTTGAAGAGAATTTATCCCATCAGGTCTGAAACACATTTCCTTATGAGACAGCTGCAGAAGATCATCCCACAGTTTTGGAGAAGGGATAAAATAAAAGACCTTTTTTCCCTTTCTCTACTGCAGCGCTCTGTGCTATGCACGTGCCTGTAGTATTCTTGACCAAACAAGAATGTTTATCAAGTCCAACAAGGAATGTTGGCCCTAAGGGTAATTTTTGCAAAGATGTGATGTCTGGAAATAGGAGTACTGTTAGTCTGCTGAGCTATAAGCCCAAAAAGAACCACCTTTGAGACAGCTCTCACCCAAAGTGTTTAATAGTAAGCTATGTTGGGGTCATGAGCTGCAGAGTTTTAAAATGAAAAGATTACCGTTCATTCTTAATTTCTACAATGGCAATAGAGAGGAAGATTGTTGGTTTTTATATTTGAAAAACATCATCCTATCTATGTTTATATGTGACTGAAATCAAAATAGAAAACAAAAAAGGAAATAAGAAGACAGATTGACAAAAGAGCCACTCTCTGTTTGCTAGGCATGACCCACCTGTGATCTTCCTGAGTTCTGGTTCCACCTGCAAAAACTCTTCTCTTTGGGACTTGCCTGCTCTTCATTCTTACTATAGTCGGTCAAGTCCAAGCAGCCCCCAAAAACATGACTGTACTTCTTACCGCACAGCATGGTTGGTTCGAGACCAGTTCACATATAGTTTGGGGTATTCTGCTGAGGAGAGGGAAGAAAGGGAAGGAAAGTAGATCCCACAAGCCCCAGTTCCCCTCTGTTACACCTACTTAGTAGGCTGCATTATAACCCTTTTATTTGTTTATTTTATTTATTTATTGTGTGTGGTGCTGGTGATGGGGAAAGGGCCTTGAGCATGCCAAGCAAGCACTCTTCTACTGAGTTTCATCACCAGCCCTAGTCCACCTTTTATGCAATTTTCCAGAAATAGACCTGCCCCTTAGCAAAGAAGAAACAAGCAAACAAAAAACCATTAGTAGAACAGTCTGGGCTCTCCTGTAAATATGTACCCAAGATTCTAGCATGACAAAAGCTTGAACCTCATCCACCCTTCTCCCAGCTGACCCTTTACCTCCTTGAGTGATCAAGGGTGCAAATGAGATCTGGAATCTATTAGGGTCCTGAAGGACCAAGCTGAAGCAGATACTTTTCCCTTTAGGCCAGATGAGCACTCAGAATAGGGTGAGATCAAAAGAATGTCATGGCTTTGTGGTTCCAGAGAGAGGCTGACCTGCCTCTCCCATGGACCCCTGCTTTAGAGAATGTCACCTTACAGGAACATCTGGTTTTCTTTTCTCCTCAGCAAATGGGGGACCTAAACAGATGCATTTATTATAAGAATGCAAGCTACAGAAACCAGGGAGTAGAAAGGCTTATCCTTGGCTTCCCACTGTTTCTGAAAGTACCCCAGGGAAAGAGTATGCTTAATGGCACCCAGCAAGCAGGAAGTGGGATAGGATGCAAATAGACAAATGAGGAAGCAGGCATTCAAAATGGAGCAATGGAGATAAGATGATGACTCAAACCAAAATTTAAAATTATAATAAGAGCACTTACCAAAAAAAAAAAGAGCACTTACAGAAATCCAAGAACAGCAATAACAAAAAACCCACTGTCAAAAAAACCAATAATGACAATCAAACAGTAGAGGAATAAAAGCCATAATTTATAAAACTAAAAAATACAATAGGCTGGGAGGTATAGCTCAATGTAGAACACATGCTTATTAGGTACAAGGCCCTGAATTCAATCTCCAGTACCAAAATAAAAATAAAATAAATAGGCAGGCACTG